TACAAATTAATTCGGTTCCATTCAAAAATGAATTTATTTCAAAACAAAATGAATGAACAGATCAATTAAAGTATTGTCCATCGCTGCCTATTACTTTTTCTCATCTCTCAGGCAATTTTCCATCCGAATTCCATCTCAAAAAAATGACTCATCTTTGGAAGCGATCCAATTTTAGAGATAATTTTCGATTTCTGCGAAAGAAATGAACCGGTGACTTGCCAAATCGACGTGCTGCATCCTTCGGAACAACCAGTAATCAGAAGGAGCAATATCCGGAGAATATGGCGGTAAAACATCCCATTTGAGCGTTTCCAAATATTTTTTTACGACTTTAGCGACATGAGCATTGTCATGAAGAAGAATAAGACTTTATCATGTCTTTGCTCGTATTCCGGTCATTTTTCTTCAATGCATGGCTCAAACGAATCAATTGTAGCCGATATCGATCGCCTGTAATAGAATCGTCAAGTTTCAGCAGCTCATAGCTCAGCAGCTCATAAACAAGATCCTTTTGGTCCCATCAAATACAGAGCATGATCTTCGAACCATGTTCAGCCGTGTTGATGTTGAGGTCGATGCAAACGATTGACCGGGCTTAGCGTAGTATTTTTTCTTCTTGGGATTGTCGTAGAATATTCACTTCTCATCTCCAGTCACAATCCGATGCAAAAACCTTTTCTCTGTTGTCTTTGAATCAACTGTTCGCAAGTGAAAAATCCTTTCAACATCTCTCGGTTTCAGTTCATAAGGCATCCAATTTCCTTGTTTTTTAATCCGAATTCCCATGGCTCTCAATCGTACAGAAACGACTTGTTGAGTTACCCCCAATGATTCTACAAGCTCTTCTTATGTTTGATTCTGTTCTTCTTCGAGTAATGCCTCTAATTCTCTGTCTTCGAATTTTTTTGGCTGTCCAGAGTGAGGCTTGTCTTCAACGTTGAAATCTCCATCTTTGAAACATCGAACTATTCCCTACATGATTTATCAATTGGAGCAGTGTCACCATAAACTTCGACAAGCATTCGAGCGTCAGCCGCACTTTTCTTCCAATTAAAGCAGAAAACCTCCCGCAAATGCTGCTTGGTTAACACAAAATTCGACATTACAAACACAGTAAAAATCAAGGTTTTTGTATGAAACTCAAATATAAATTGAATATTATTAGCAGATGTTTAACCTTTCTGAAACCGCCAAAATCAACTGTCACTATGAACCATTCACAACAGCTGGAGCCATCTTTAGAGAAACGGACCGAACTAATTTGTATTCCCAATATATATATATATAAAATACAGCAACGCAATCATCAAAAAATGTATTTAACTTTCCATGCGTCTTGTCAAATGTGATATAAAAACGTTTTTATATTGTACTATATGTACAAATGTAATCTGTAGTTTTATTGAATACAAAGTCTATTCAAGAACTCAAATTTACAATCACCACGCATAAAAAGAACCAGCAATATTTGACCATTTTAATTTTGACCGAAGAATAATCAGATTTGTAAAATATTTGAATTTACTTGATTGCTTTTAAATGTTCGAATAATGAGATTCTAAAAAATGATAATTCTTAATACTTTCGTATAGTAGAGTAGTGTATATTTGGAATAATATCTTTACAGTATTTTTTATCACTTTTTTAAAATCCTTATATAATTGTAGAATATCAGGTCCAAATTCTAATAGCGTAATAATTAACGAGAGCTCTTCAGATAGTGATATAGATGCAAACGATAAGATATAATTCTAAGAAAGTAAAACATCGAAAAGCTTCATTTAACAAATTTAAATAAAAATGTACACAAATGTACGGAAGAAACAGAAGCACTTAACGAGTAATTATAATTGCTTTGCATTATCTACAACACATATAAATAGATCTTTTAAATTTAACATGAAATCTTCTATACAAATATGTATATTCTATTATATGAAAAATTTTTTTATTGTTTCATCAATTATTTTTATAATAAATAGAATAGTATACAAACAGAAATTATTTTGTTCAGAGAAGCAGCAGACAATTTGATCTCAATTAGTTGCTGGATGCGTGGACATTACACAAAATCAACAAAAAATAATAAAGTAACATGCAATCAATATAATGAAAAATTATTATATGCATTAGCCACTTAAACTACATTACTTTACATAAGCATTAGACTTTACATAAGCCTTATTAGAGACACATCCAGATAAAGTAACAGAAGAAAAGAAGAAAGAAGTTAAATATCATTGAGACTATTTTACTATGAAAAATGATTTTCAGACATGCAAAGAATGTAAAACATTAATTATGTGCATATATGCAATAGGTTTAAAAAGAATTCACACACACACACACACACACACACACACACACACACACACACACACACACACAAAGAAATATTCTCCATGTATACCAAAGATTAATATAATGTTATCTGCGTGCCCATAGGTATCATTTTTTATCCTTATTAATTTTATTAAACATTATTAACTCTGTGTTAAACAAGAACAAAATGATACACAAGAGTACTCGGATGTTTCTAAACGTAATTAACAAGAAAAATCGTATCGTTTATTGTAAGATTGATTAATAATTATAACTTGGTGTTTTTTAAATTATGAATTTCATCGAAAGACTACGAAAATCTAAATATTCTAATTTTAACATATTCTTGTACTTAGTTTGCTGTAGTTTACTATATTTAAATTTATAAATATGTAGAATATTATTTATAATTCTACGTAATTTTACAAAGAAGCTTATGGAAAACTTTTAAGTATTTTGCAATTTTAGCATTTCTATATATAAGTTTTTGTAATATTTTTCGAATTCAGAAGAGTTTCAGACTTTGGCAGTTATTTTTTAAGAACATAACCAATACAGATAAAAGCTTTTAACGATCTTAGCTGAATCTGTACTTGTATAATTCTGTTTAAATTTATATAGTACTATGTAGTTCATTAAACTGCGTGCCGAAATGATTTTTCGATCTTGAAACGCAAACTTTACTAAACTACTGTAGTAATATCACGAGTTAAATTGACTAGTAATTTAAGCAATTTAACGTAGAA